TTATCCTACTCTGACTTTTGATTGGCAATAAATTAACTTTAATTTCCCCAACTAGAGTCTGTTTTGCCTGTAACAGTAATTGCAGACTGATCTCCCTGTCCTTATCTCGACCCTCGAACATTTCGTCATATTTTCTCTCCCACTGTCCAGTTGAGGAGTGGAAGAGACAAAACAGCTTGGTGGGCATCTGACCTTGGCTAGCCAAGGTCAGGCCCACCCCCCCCCATCCACAAGTTATTTCGCTACCTTGAATGATACCCTAACAAATGTATTTTAAAAATAATTAAGTCCTATTTAATGATTAAGACACATTTCTAATAGCTTCCATAAATAGCCTCCGTATCTGTGTGACAGGGGAAGGGAAATTAAAAAAAAAAAAAATCAAAATTTCTTCCAGAGAAAGATTTCTGAATGAAAATTCCTTTGGTGTCCCACTGTCTTCAAGTGCTTTAATCCCCTTCCCCGCCCTCTTCCCTTAATTGCCAGATGAGACATCCCAGACAACGTAAAAATCTACAAAACAGAGTTCTTACCTGCTTTTATTTTCCTTCCCTTTTATTTTTTCTTGGCCCTTGCCTCCAGTAGGATCCTTGAATGATACCCTAACAAGTGTATTTTAGGAAGACTTAAATTCTATTTCATGATTAAGACACATTTCTAATAGCTTCCGTAAATAGCCTCCGCATCTGCGTGACAGGGGAAGGGAAATGAAAAATTAGGATTTCTTCCAGAGAAAGGTTTCTGAGTGAAAATTCCTTTGCTGTCCCACTGTCCTCAAGTGCTTTAACTCCCCCCTGCCCTCTTCCCTTAATTGCCAGATGAGACATCCCAGGCAATGTAAATATTTACAAAGCAGAGTTCTTACCTGCTTTTATTTTCCTTCTCTTTTATTTTTTCTTGGCCTTTGCCTCCAGCAGGATCCCACTCAACATAGGTACCTTCAACTTTCAAGTTCAGATGAGATGAAGTACTGTCCAAACTGAACACAAATGCTGGTCAGGACAAAATGCGGAACAGTGAAATGGTATAATGCTCTCTCCCAACTGTGGCTATTCACAGAAAATGATGGAAGCAGTAGTAAAATCGTAGCAGAGCACTATTCGACTTAACAGAAACATCAGCTTTTTAGTCTGATGCTTGTAATCAAGGTAAGGAGCCCTTTAAATAAAGGCCAACTATCTACCTTCAGCGTATAGGTTACATCAAAGTAAGTTTTTTCATCTTTGTAATGCTGCAGTATCAGTAATTAAATTCAGGTAGTGCTTTCTGCTAGTTACAACCTACTCCCTAGATTCCTACAATCATGAATGATTTTAAAAGGTATGCTTATTTTCCACGCTCTGCAGCACTGATTCTCCAACAAGGTGTTTATGATTAATAAGGATTGCAAACTTGGGGAATACTAACTTGACAGGGTAGCACATACAGGCAAGGCCGAGTTGAACTGTGAAGTCAACTGCAGATACAAGAACAGTAGAGGATGCATGCAACTAGAAGAGACTTGGTATTTGCTGCAGCCAAGTCCTTCATCCAAGAAAACAAAACTAATACAACATGCCAAGTCCCCTAAAGATGTTTACTTACAGACTCTTCTGTAAGTGTCCTAACACCATCAGATATTATAGTCTGATTCTGAAAGAAAGTACACTTGAGATTTTAAGAGTTTAGAGCTCAACAGCACCCAACTCTAAAAAACAGTAAGGTAAGCACACGGACGAGGATACTGAGTGTCCATGGGCCGATTATTAAAGACAGTGAACTAAATGTTCACACAGAAATAACGAAAATAATATGGGAAGCTTGATAGCTGCCCCAACAATCAAAACCAGAACTATTTTTCTGGTACTGGAGCAAGGAATGTAAGTGGCTGTTAAATGGATACTGTCGATCTGACGATGACTGTGGCTTAAGAATACTAAAAGCGTTTTAGAAAAGTTACCAGAATGCACATCAGCTCATTCAAATTGGATATAGCTTTGTTTTTATGAAGTAACATTCACAAGTAACAGGATTTATATTTTAATTATCCAGTTCATATCAGTCATTTTGCCCTTTACACTACAGACTTAGCTATAATTAAAGCCTCAGGATCATTATCTCCACCATAATAGTTAAGATTTGTGTTCTGTCACAAAACTTCTCCTCCAAGAATTTTTTTTTCTAGTTTATTTACAAAATGATGTTAGGAAGCCACCATCCTCAGACCAACTGATTTCTAACACAATGACTTAATAACTTTAGCAATTTGGAGCTGCCCTTTTTAATATTGACAGTGATTAGAATCTACAGCTACAAAGTCAAAAAAATTCTTTTCAGCACCTTCTATTTATAGAAAGCTATTACCTGTCACATGCTAAGTACCAATAACCAGCCAACTACACCAACTGGTTAGATGCCCTAAGAGTCCTACCGATGCTCAGCAACAACATTCATCTTCTCTTGCTATCTGTTGGCATGACGTAGCAGCACATAATATTGTCAATCCACAGTTCAAAACAACCGATGTCAAGCTCTGTTGGAGAAAGTTGTATCACTACCTCATTTTTAGCGTCTGAATGCTAAAAGGCCAGTTTTGTGCCAATAAGCTTCTTAATCCTTTACAGAAATGGTTGTTTTCCTTTTCACTTAGGAGACACATTTCAGCAGTGCTCATGCAGAAGCAGACTTAACATACAAGTTCATATATGAAGGCAGAACAGTAAGTGCAGGGTTTTCACTACATCTAAGGTTAGGGTCTTTCAAATTTTACCTTTGGTCTCCAGAGTCACAGGATCGGAGTATTCCCCTGCCACAGCTTTGTTGCAAGCTTGTACTCTAAGGTTCATGTATTTTGTATCAAATTTCAGACCTAAAAATGAATGTTTAGAAACTTAAATTGACATTAATTACCGACAATTTTTACAAGACTAAGATCTATTCCATGTAGCTGTCTTCCATTTATCTCAATCTGCAAAAAACAAGCTTAAATATCAGTGTGAACTTCATTTAACACAGGATTTTTTACAAAAACCTCAAAGTCAAAATAAAAGGCAGAGCCATTATTGTACAAACCACCCAAGACTAATGTGAAACAGCGGAAGCTTCATTACATACAGGAAAATGGGTATTTTGCAAAACTTCCAAGCATATTCTTGGTTTTGAAGTATAAAAAAACCTTTACCTGATAATGTATATTCAGTAGCTTTAATATAGTCTATCAGTTCCCAGCGCTGTTCATCTTTTACTCGAGGAAGCCCATCGAAGTTGGTTTTCCTATACTCCAGTACAAAATGATCAATTCTGCTGTCTTCTTCAGGCATTCTCCACGATACTGTTATGCAGTTATCAGCAACCAGACATGCTGTTAGATCTATCTCTGGAGCTTTAGGGACTGCAAAGACAAATATACAGATCAGTTTAAAGAAGAGAATGGACTGAATATTAATTTGTTCTCCTTGGATTTATAGAGTTCAGAAGTTGCCCTTGGCCAAGTAACGCTCATTCCCTTTAGAGGATCTATTCCATTAGCAAAGCATGATAGAAGACTAGGCATATCACTTTCACTTAACACGCATTTTACAAAACAAGAAATACGCATTAGGTCTAGAGTGAACATTTGTATCACATTTTCCAGATGTTTGTTTTGTCAGTAAGTTGGGCTGATCCCCTTCTGGAAGCAGTAAGAAGGACATGCTAGAGTAGAGTGGACTTGCAATTATGAACCTACATTTAGGATAACACTACACAGGAAGAACATTAAGAAGCAAACTTTTATTTCCGAGTCTTTGGAAGGCAAGTACAGCTGCAGCCCTCAAACAGTATCACTTAAGTTTACTTCCACCACTACAGACAACTAATGGTGTAATAGTTTCCACTAGCCAGTCAGCAGTTATCTCGTTTTCTTTCCATTTCATCCTTTGTCTGGAAAGAAGGGGAAAGAATTCCTAAGATTCACTAAAGAAAAGTCTGAAGTTTTGTTTATAGACAATAGCAGTCTATTTCCATGAAATCAAAGAGCACTTAAGTCACTGGAAAATGTTTTTCAAAAAAGGCATTTAAATACTCTTCGTAGTGTCCAAAGTACATTCAAGGAAGACTTTTGCTGGAGGAAGTGAAAAAGATGTTTTATCGTTTGCAGTTTTTGGAGGAAGGATCCGCACAAGCTTTTCCTTTGTTTCAGCATTCACAAAAGCTTGAAATAAAAGTGGCCTGCAAGTCAACGTATCAAGCAGGAACATCCAAAAAGTACAATACTGATGCATCTGTGCAACCGACAGACCTGCACATTTTATTTGTCAAAAATTATCCCTTTTCATAACTCTCAAACCCTTAGCTGTGTTGTTCTGTATAGTTATGTCCCAGTGACCTCTTATTACATACAGGTTGCCTTTATGCAGTTGAAACGACTATTTCTTGAACAGATTGTTAGCCATGACTCCCCTCCACAATGACTGATGACAATCAGCATCCCATTAATTATGGTTAAGTCATTTAGAGATGTGTAATTTTACCATCTATATTACAAACACTTCCTAGCTATAACTTCTATAGCTAGGAGCAGAAGGCCTAGTTTGCTTTATGCACACTACTTCATACCTTCCTACACCTTCCCTTCATGATCTGTTCAAGTATTTTAACCTAGCACTACTGAAATGCACCCTTTTACCCCTCACATCCCTGCAGTTTAAGCCAAGCAGGAATTACACTGAAACTGGTGGTATAGGTTTGAAGTGTTTGAGAACAAATAAGCAGCACAGAAGAGACTGAAAGCAAAAAGTATTCAAGTCTGTACTGGTTTTGGCTGAAACAGTTACATTTCTTCATAGAGGCTTGTACGGTGCTAGGCTTTGGATTTGTGATGAAAACAGTCTTGATAATACAGGGCTTTTAGTTATCGCTGAGCAGCATCAAGCCCTTTTCTGCTTCTCACACCACACCATCAGTGAGTAGGCTGGGGGTGCACAAGAAGCTGGGAGGGGACACAGCCGGGACAGCTGACCCCAACTGACCAAAGGGATATTCCATACCATATGACGTCACGCTCAGCATATAAAGTTGGGGAGGAAGAAGGAAGGGGGGGACCTTTGGAGTTATGGCATTTTGACTTCCCAAGTAACAGCCATGCATGATGGAGCCCTGCTCTCCTGGAGATGGCTGAACACCTGCCTGCCGATGGGGAGGAGTGAATGAATTCCTTGTTTTGCTTTGCTTGTGTGTGCAGCTTTTGCTTTACTTATTAACCTGTCTTTATCTCAACCCATGAGTTTTCTCACTCTTACCCTTCCAATTCTCTTTCTCATCCCACCACGGCAGGGGAGAGTGAGCAAGCAGCTGTGTGGTGCTTAGCTGCCTGCTGGGGTTAAACCATGACAAATTCTCAAGTGTTAATCACATGCACTTGTCATCAAATTTCAAAGTCATCCAACAATAATTTGATGATAATATCAGTAAGATCCCTAATTTTTCTTTTTCCTAAGATGAGGACAAGTATTTCAGAACATATACCTGTAAGTTTAGCTATCTACCCCAATTTTTTTTGTCATGGTATAAGATACCAGATAAAGAGTCTTCCATGCGTTTGGACTGACCAAGTCTTCAGCATAATTCTGGCAAGCAGTGTTCAAATGCCAGCATTACCACAACAACAAACCTGTTTTCAACTTCCCACAGTAGGACATCGGTATTTCCTGATGTATGAAGGTCTATCAATGCTCAGTGCAATTTTGCCTGCAACAGTTTGAGCTATCAGTATGTGGTGTCAAAGTAATTTGATAGCTTGGCACTACAGTAGAAAAAGCGAGATTGATATACAGACAGTTAATTTTCCTGTTTACAAATCAAAGGCCCAAACAATTTAAATTCCTATGTATTTGATAAGGAAAATGCATGTATAAGAAGGGTCATACTAAATAGTATCTTCATCTAGATACAAGACTTTGTTCATGCTTGCTGTTAGATCTTCAGGCTCCCATTCCTGTTAAACAGGTGCACTGTGATCAGCTTACCTACCTTGTTCCCTTTTCTATGAAATACAGAGCAATGACTGCCATCCAGAGTCTAACCTGGCAGGCAGCTAACCGCCACACAGCCATTTGCTCACTCCCCCACCCCATGGGATAGGGGAGAGAATTGGGAAAAAGGTAAAGCTTGTGGGTTGAGATAAAGACAATTTAATAGGACAGAAAAGGAAGGGAAAATAATAATAATAATATTAAAAGAATATACAAAACAAGTGATGCACAATGCAATTCCTCACCACCCACTGACCGATGCCCAGCCAGTTCCCAAGCAGCAGTCACTGCCCCCCAGCCAACTTTCCCCCAGTTTATATACTGAGCATGACATCACATGGTATGGAATATCCCTTTGGCCAGTTTGGGTCAGCTGTCCTGGCTGTGCCCCCTCCCAGCTTCTCGCTGGCAGGGCATGAGAAGCTGAAAAGCCCTTGACTAGTGTAAGCATTACCTAGCAACAACTAAAACATCGGTGTGTTATCGACATTATTCTCATACTAAATCCAAAACACAGCACTGTACCAGCTACTGGGAAGAAAATTAACTCCATCCCAGCCGAAACAAGGACAGACTAAAAAGTGAATTTCTGCCTAGACACTGCTAGCTGACCACTAGGAATAGTGTTGGTAATTTACTACACCTGCTACCACATACTGTATCTGCAGCATACAAGATAAATGGGCAAAAATGTAAACTGATGCTGCCAAGTCCTTAACAGATTTGGATTAGTGACCTAGAGATGAAAGAACTCACATCCCTGCCAGCAGTACCCTTGTCAATATATTCTTGGTATCAGCCAAGGGCAAAGTGGTTTAAACAGGAAAGCAATATGAATAAAAAGACATGAAAGATACATACCAGAATACTGCACCTAAGTTTACTTTCAAACAGTAACAAACAGATGCATCAATACACATTTTGTATTATGGTAATATCACTGCCCTAGTAGACTACCCCTCTCTTGCATTTCAGACCATATCACCACTCTTGTAAGCGACATATTAGCTTACAGTTCCATGCATAACACTACTGCAGATGACTAGGACTTCAGGGCATCACTAAGCATCAAGCTAGGAGGTACAGTCTTGAGAAACTTAAGATAACTTCAGGAAGTACAGAGGAACTGACAACTCAAGAAAAAGCATGGTCTGGAAGACTCATTCTCACTTCTGAGATAAATGTTATTTTCTGAAATGCCATATTACGTAGAAATTAACACAATAAAATCAGAAAACTCTTCTACCGTTGAGGTATTCAGCTTAACATCCAATCAATAAGAATGAGTCTAGGTACTCTGAAAAATTTGCTCATTAGGGTACAAGACGTGTGGTTTGGTTTTGTTTGTTTTAAATATAGTAAGTTATTCATGTAGTAACAAATTAAACTCACTGCATTCAGTTTTTACCTGGCAAAAACTTTACAGCCTGGAGCATGCGCCTTTCCAAAGTGAAGTCCACCATCAAATGAGTCATACTATCACTGACCTTTGGTTTCAGAGAGATGCGGAACGCTGAAGCCATTGTGACTCTAAAGTCAAGAAAGGAACATTAGCAAAATGTATTTTGCATTGTTTAAGTCCTATAGCCATTCTCAAAAACAGCAATCAGATAATCTGTATCGTTAATGTCAAACTGTTAGCCAAAATACTGATCAAAGACCAGAACATTTTTCTAACAGGTAACTGTTCACCATTTAGCACAGACTCCAAAATAGAAAGTTTTGCTAATGTGACTGTCTGGTGCGAGCTCCCAGTTGTTCCATATTACCAGGCAAAGAAAGACTAGAATTGGCTAGAGAAAAGCTTAAAACTTCTTTTACTTGTGAAAAAATTTGGATAAGAGACAAAACAAAACTAGTATCACTTTACACAAAATCAGGAAGCGTGAAAAATCTAAAGCACTGCAGAATAAGGATGTTTTATATACTGAGAAATTTGAAACTTAAACCTTTAGTTTAAAAAGGTCCAAAGACTTTTCAGCTCGACAAGATCCACTCATTACCTCCAAAGTGCATTTTCACATGTTAAAAATTGCTCAGAAGGCATTTATAAATAGCAGTGAACAAGCTGAATATTCTGATTTCATATCTACCTCTGATCTTATCAGGAGATGAAGAAATGTTTAAGTTGCAGACACCATATTGCTTTGGAACATGCAAGTATCAGATCAGCCTTACAAGATACACTGAAGCACAGCTCCCATTTCCACTTTTGAAATCTTAGCTCACTCCTTATTCTGAATACTCCTAAGACACTCCTGTATTCCATCAACGACACCACCAAAAAAAAGGAGGACAAGTCTCTTGTACAGTTCTGTAACTCTGAAGGCATCGGGCCATGCAGCAGAATTTGAATAACATTGATTCAGACAGCACACAGGTCCTAACTCCTGCTTAAAAAAAGAGATTCTTAACTAGAAAGTAATATACACACCACAAAAGAAAGTCAACTACAGACACTTGTATCCGATTTACACCCACAGATCTGTGGCACCTTTAGAACACCAAATAGCTCACAGGAAGTGATATGCATTAAGTACTTCACTAGTATGTAAGAGATTGTGTGCTAACTACAGGTACATTAAAGAACGGTGAAAACCAAAAAATTCAGGTAGTGAAGAAGGGGGAGGAAATATGAAGTTGAGTATTAAAGATATAAGCATGTTGAGAATGACAAGCATTACAATTTTGGGATATAAGACAATTATGACACTGAACTGAACATCATAAAATAGACAGGTCAATTGATTTCCCAAGACAGAGTTGACGTTCTGAAATTCAGTATAGGCTGCCTAGTCCACTGCTCAGCCAGATGGGTAGAGTAAATCTCTCCTTAAGGAAGAATAATCCTCTGATTAGCAGCAAGAGAACACTGAGTCGTCAGCTTCAGACAGCTTTTTAACTTCTGTTTAGGCACCGATCTTAGAGAACCAGCCACAATTGGTTCAAAAGGATTAGATCACAGTATTTCAAAAAACCAGAAGAGTAAGAGGATGCTTATTATAGATAAAAAGTATGAAGATTCCTATCACTGACACTATCCCTCTGATTTGTTAAGGACACTAAATCTTCACCCTTGGAAAAGCAAAGATTAATTTCTCTGGCAATTACTCATTTTACACAAAACTTCAGAGAATTTAGACAATCAGACCCTTCCTTGAAAACCTGTAAATTGAAAGCCAACCTATTTGGTCCATAAGAGCAACATATGCTGGAAACACCCTGTGAGCTGTCTTTCAAAATATTAAGCACATCATAGTAAGTTTTCTGAACCAGAAGGTCAAACTCTCAGAATGTAGTTATCATCCTTCCAAGTGAAGAAAGATGGCCTTAGCATTTATTTTGAAACAGTAAAGTTTTGCTTTCTAAACAATAGTTTGAAGACACAGTTCAAAGAAAAGCTACCAGAAATAGCAATTTCACTGACATTAGTCAGTGATGTCACCAGAAATATTTCAACAGCTACAAGACTTTTTATATTCAAAAGGAAAATTAGCTAGCAAAAGTCTGTAAGTGCTTAAAAAAAAAAACAGCAAGATTTTCTCATAATTTAAAGGGACAGAGTCAGCTTGAAACATTATTAAATTTCAGCCATCAGGTATTAACAACAAATCAGAAGTTTATTATTAATAATAATGATATACTATATTAATGATATATATACTTACAGAGCAGAAGTCTGTAAGTGCTTAAAAAAAAACAGCAAGATTTTCTCATAATTTAAAGGAACAGAGTCAGCTTGAAACATTATTAAATTTCAGCCATCAGGTATTAACAACAAATCAGAAGTTTATTATTAATAATAATGATATACTATATTAATGATATATATACTTACAGAAATAATAAAAACAATAGCTGCTGCAGAGCTCCACTTCCCTGCATTAAAAACATCTTTCTCTTTATTAAGGTATGAAAGGCCAACAGTCAGCAAGGAAAAACACTACGTGGGAAGCATAGAAGTTTTTAGTTCTCTCTCAAAAGTTGTCATGTCACAACAAACACTTAGAAAAGAGTCAATGAACTTGATTTAAGCTGACTATGACCCTTTCAAAATAAATGCATTTTCAAGGATAACATTAATTCAAAGACACAAAAGTGACAGACTTTGTACTGTACCTATCTTTGATCTGTCTGGCAGCCTTGATGCATGTCAGGGAGAAGAGAGAGAAAGTAGTTAGTATTTCCATGCAAGTATCAATGGCGGTAACATGCAAGAAGGCTGAGAACCTCAGCTGTATCGCTCGGATTTAAAGATCAAAATGAGTTTAACATTTTCATCAAAATAAGTTTTCCCACAAAGCATGTTAATAGTATTGGTTAGAACTGCAACAATGTATCACCTGGGAAAGAACTGATCAAGAACCACACCAAACCAATTCCAAATTACTCAACTTCCTGGGTGTGACTTTGTCTCTTCAGATTTCTCTTAATCAATTAAGTTACTCTCCATCACATTTTAAAAGAGCTACATGACCAAGTCAGTAAAATGTAACTACCATGGTATTTTCTGTGAACCTATAAAGCGCTCATTAGTGGCATGTAACCTGACTTGTTTGGCTATACATCATAGGATGTATACTCTGACAAACAAGAAAAAATAGGACTTGCTTTAAACTTTTCCTCTGAAATTTATTGTACTATTCCAACAATACTTCCTAAAAGGCTCTCTCCGTATGTCACTATTCAAAACCACAGAACATAGTTTTTCCCAGCATTTAAATGATACCACTGAAGCATATGCAGAAGTGGTGATGGCATGTTTCAAAGATAAACATTAACTAGCATTTGGAGAGACAAAATCCCTGTCCTTCACCAAGAGGAACTGCAAACCTAAGACAAAATGTTATTGTTGAAGTAGTGATGGCTTAGTTAGGTCTGTTGAATCTATGCTTGGAGTTAACATTGCTACTTGATCTAGTTGCCATTCAGCTGAACTACTTCCCTTCCAAAGAGGAGACAAGAAACATCAGGTAGCTTCCCAGTTTAAAGTCAATCCAAAGTGGAGGACATACAAATTTTTCATTAAATACAAAGCACACTCAATTAAAAAAAAAAAATCACAGTTGTCCCTGCTATAAAACCAATTTTATATTCCCAAAGTGGGAAGGAGAAAAAAACAAGTGTTTAGAAATAATTTAGCTTATGCAGCAGCTTTGTTTTACCTCAAACCAAAGTTACTGTAGGAACTACTGACTGATTTTCCTACAGGACAGCTGTAGACAAAACAGAGCTACTTAAAAACAAAAGCCTTCTTCATAACTTCTACGCCTTGTGGAATATGTGGTAGCCAGGACTCAATGAACACTCTTCGGCAAGACAGTCCTGGATTAACTCCTTTGAATTTAGTTTGTTTCCAGGCTACTGACAAAGAAGGGTATCAGCCCAGCTCAGATGAGCTGCCAGCAGTGTCAAATCACATCCTATCTAATCTCCTGTGTGCTGTCATCCATGTTCTTTTGACTTTCAGGTAAGCCAATTCAGCGAATAAAGCCACCAAAAATCTAACATAGAAAAAAAAATTAAAAAAATAATCTTAGTTTAGTCTTAGCTATTTTCTGATAGCAGCAAGAGAACACTGATTTACTAGAGGATCCAAAGAAAATTTGTGCCAATAAAAGACAGTCAGGGCTGGAGCTGCCCTTTCAGGAACACCTGGTATGCCTATTAGCAGAGCAATAGATTTAGCTGGCTAATAGCCAAGGCAATATTACCTTAAAATGCCATATCCAAAGGCACATTTACAAGTGCAAGCTAGTGTAATACAAGTTTCAAATCCTAGATACTAGAGTTCACTGAATTGGATTTCAGTATCTTAAGCCACAGACTCCAAATTTAAAGAGATTTTACCCCCAGGAAACACTCAAATAACTTTCCTTAGGGTATCTGATTGAAAAAAGCATTAGAGATAGCTGAAAAGAGGTATCTGATTGAAAAAAGCATTAGAGATACCTGAAAAGAAACAACAACAACAGTAAATTCAAAGCTACATTCTGCATAGTGCTCAAGAGCTAACATAATTTTTGCACATTGCTATGACAAGACAGAACGGACAACTCAAACCGAAGTGCTAAGAAAAATATTCAGTTTAGGAATTGTCACTCTTCAAGGCAAATAAATCAAAGCTGACACTCAGGAAGCACGACAGCACACAAACACGTTGCCAAAAGGTATAATTGACACAGTAAGACAGCTTTCCTGCCCGCTCTTTTAGAATAATTTGTATCCTTGTTCCTGTTAAAATGCAGAAAGGCAAAAGTAATTGGGTCTTGGATTTGGCGTGGCTGACCCCACTACTAACACGAGGATTATTACAGCAAGCCTAATGTACTGAGTCAGTGTATATGTAGAACTGTTTTATTAATTTGTAAGTATATTCTTCCAGTTAGATACATGTTGCCTTATTTACAAGTTTGCTATGGTAAAGTACACATTACTTATATTGGAATCACAATGTGAGGCCCAAATCAGGCTCTTGCCTACACAGTACACAAATGCATTAGAAGGTTTTGGGGAATAGAGGAAGAGCTGCCCTGAATTCAGTTTTGTAAGATCTTTCAGGACAGCTATAGAGTTCAGGGTTACAAATTAAAGATCCACAGCTTGCATGAAGTTCTGCAAAACAAACATCTTGTCACCCACAGATGGCTGCAGCTAGAATACAGAGACTCTCTGCAAGCACCATGTAAGAGCGCTAGGCAACTGACAGGTCACTTGCCATGGCTTTGAGTGCTGGCCATCACACATTTTGTAAGTCTTGGTTCAGTTTTAGAGATTTATTTCACCCTCACTTTCCGGGTTTGCTTACCTAGCGTCAGTGCAAGTTTGCTTAACACTGACAGTTGTCCAGCAGAAGGGATTCCTTTCCCTTCCCCATTACTCTAAGTAAGAAAAAACTTACTTTATTAGAAATTGCATAGAAATTCAAGACTGTAGTGCTTGACTCGGCCTCCTCAACAGAACATCAATTGTATTTTTATATGCCTCTCTATCCTCACTCTCCATATTCCCGGTAAGTTTGCAGGGTCCAGTACAGTAATGTAAAGGACACTTCAAATTGAGATGAATACCAACATCTGCCTTATGCACATCTGTTCAATGTTTTCTACCTTTAAGAATTCCACAGGGTCCTTTATGTCCAGTGACTGCGCAGCAAGTTCCAGAAGCTCTTCAGAACTCTCTAGGGCATTACTACACTGGCTAAGCTGATCCTGAAGCAAAAACAGAAAGTAAGAATAAATTTATGTATTCACATTTAAAAAGGTTTATAAACTACCAGTACTAGAACTACATGGCTTTGCTATGCATTAGATAAGGTAATAAGTTGTTACAAATCAAGGCTATTACCTCTGACACATCGTGTTAACTAGAACTTCTCTGTGCTTCACAAGTGCACAGTGATACATGGCACATCCTATAAACCCAAAGGGGAAAAAGTTGGATAGGTGGTGAAGTCTCATTTAAAAGCCAGATTTCATTTTAAGGCCTGTTTCTCCCAACATCAGGATTTCAGAAGCAAAGAAATGTTTACATCTGTATACACTACAATTTCTATTTACAGAACTGCACTTCATCAATGAACTGATACTGTTTAATGTAGCAGTAGCCTTGAAAAAGGCAATGATTTTATCCCCAACCAGCTCTAGAATTGTCACAAGACAATCATGAAAATCAATATTGCTGTATAACAAATGGGGATAGTAGAGGAAGAGGAACAGAGGAAGAAGTGCAGAAGAGAAATTTCTTTCAGGATTATCTAAACGTCTATCATTAGTAAACTACCATTCCCAGTATATAAAATAGCCCACAGAAAACTTCCAGTATTACATACTATGGGTATATCCCTAAAAAGATTAGTTCTGAATACACTGCAGGATCCTAAACATACCGTAGATTAAACAAGATGCGCATTTTAAACCTGCCAGCAGCTTTTGCATGGCCATTCAACCTACAGCTGTTTTTCTACTCATGTGATATTTAGTGTAATATCTCAGAACAAGTCAACAGCAAGTAATTATTTTTCTTTAAAACACTTTGTGGAAAGACAGCTTGCTCTAAAGTAGTCACTGTGTGTCCTGGTTTCGGCAGGGATAGAGTTAATTTCCTTCCTAGTAGCTGGTACAGGGCTGTGTTTTGGATTTAGGATGAGAACAAAGTTGATAACGCACCAATGTTTTAGTTGTTGCTAGGTAATGCTTACACTAGCCAAGGACTTTTTAGTTTCCCATGCTCTACCAACTGAGAAGGCTGAAGGTGCACAAGAAGCTGGGAGGGGGCACAGCCAAACTGGCCAAAGGGACATTCCATACCATGTGACGTCATGCTCAGTACATAAACTGGGGAAAGCTGGCCAGGGGGGCCGCTGCTCGGGGACTGGCTGGGCATCGGTCGGCGGGTGGTGAGCAATTGTACTGTGCATCACTTGCTTTGTGTATTATTATTATTACATTATTATTATTTTATTTCAATTATTAAACTGTTTTTATCTCAACCCACGAGTTTTCCCTCACTTGTGCTCTTCCAATTCTCTCCCGCATCCCACCACGGGGGGGGGAGTGCATGAGCAAGCGGCTTTGTGGTGCTCAGTTGCCAGATGAGGTTAAACCACGACACTGTCACAACAGCAACCAACAGTTGCATCAACTTCAAGAACAGACCAGTCTCAAGCACTTCAGAAGTGTGACTAGTTTTGGCAAGTGTGGTGAGTTGACCTGGGCCAGCTGCCCCTCAGATTTACTGTTCAAGGATAAAATAGGAGCAAGGAAACAGTCCAACAGCTAAAAGTTTGTACACAGTTTCCAGATAACTTCTGAAGCATGCCATTAATGCAAGTTGTCATTCATCTAATACAGCTGCTCTCCTCTTTGGAGGATATCCATTGCTGACAAACTCAGATATACCATGATACTGCCAAAATGTCCCAGGCAAACACCTCAAAAGAAAGAAGCAAATGCCAAAGGCATTTTCAAACAGCTTTGCAGAAATGACACGGTAACCAGATGCTTCCATTAGCATCTTACTGAGATGCATCTGCATTTGGGAGTTAAAAGTAAATACTTCAGTGTCATTAAAATACACTGCCCCAAAATGAAGCAATATATTTTCAAAGCAAGTGTTTAAGGAGAATTTCTAATTTTCGGCCTTAACTTCCAAGGAAATTATTTGGGAGGGTTTAGTCTAAATATTAAATCCTCACTCTTTTCCACCATTATGTAGCCCCAGTATTTTAAGTTACAGCTTATTCTCAACAAGAGCATCTAGTAAACTATAAAAGACTAAATACAGCACAAGCACTTTAAGAGGACAATAAATTAAGCAAGCCCATTCCTTTAAACAGGATGTTTAGGCCTCACTGAAGTTCCTTGGTTTCCTCATACAAAGTTAGTTTTCAGTTCCAGTCAAAGATAATGGCTTGGATTAATGCATTCAATGCAACAGTTTTCATATGTTAGTTTGGTTTGGTAGACTGACTGTTAGGAAAAGCATTCCAGCAGTGCCTCAGCTACAGAGGAAGCTTGGTCTGTCATCAAGTAAAAAGAATGTCCTTCGGGCCTGTAGTTAGAGAACAGCCTTAGCTGAAAGACAAGTAGGGCACTTAACAACTGTGTCAGTGATCTGTAACATTCCACTTGTCTTCATCCTCTTCTGACTAAGTAGCAGCTCAGCTGTTCAACACAGATACTGGGCAGCAATTCTTGATACAGCTGTATCACACTGACAAGCTTTCAGAATAACTTGGTTCAACCACACCTGAGCTTGATCAAATTAGATTAACTATCAGAAAATTAACAGAATTAACAGAAAATTTCAATGGTCAAGTCAAACTGCCAGATGAATAACTATCAAAACAGTTTTCAGTTCCAGAATAATTTCTTGCAAGATTAACTTTTGCAAGTTTTTCTTCACTAGAAGGTAGAATAACTGATACATGCCACAGTTGAATTTCTCCTGCAAGCTGTTCATTGAGAAGCACTTATTCTTTAAGCATTTAACTCCTAAGTGTCCCTGGATGTGGGTAGACCTCTGTCCATTGAGAAACTTCAGAAGGACTTAAAACAGCCATATGGGGAGAAAGATTAAACTGGAGGTGGAAAAGTGCACTTAAGTGCTTAACTTAAATTGTGCACTCAGAAGTTCTGGAATGTTTTACACCCAGCCTTTTAAGTATGAACATAAAACAGACCTTATAAGGAAGCCTGTGGAATTTGTTTCAGGAAACCGCTCCTAGAACTTCTTTAAACTGACTAGACACGAAAAGGTGAACTTTTTCAGGAACAAACGTCTTTCTTATTGCTTTGCAAGCAAAAAGAACTACACAAAAGAATGCTGCAATGAGGATCATTTAAAGAATGACTTAAACATTTAAACAGAAACAGCTTCTGTTTAAAAGATTTAACCATGCTTTGGCCCCACGCAACTAGATTTTCTGAAAGCTAGAGCCAACTTGCTACACACTACTGGAAAAACATAGACTTTGTAAGTGTTTCAGAAAGTTACGTTTTTGTTTCTGTTTCTCTGAAACCCACTGGAAAGCTTCTCCTGCATGAAACTATACAACTACAAGCTGGTGAAGTTCACGTAGCAGGTACCAGTGTAACCTGTTCCCAAGCAATTCCCATATGTCTTCCAGTGTACATTACAATTTGCCTGATGTTAACAAGTAGAGGATGACCAGTTCTGTCAATAGGAGACCAGCCTTTGTGCTTAGGATACCCGGCATGATTCTCAACTATAAGTTCAAGCCTGAGCAAATCACTTAGCCATGTCTACAGGTTCAGATGCTCATATTCCAAACTGGAGGAAGAAACCAATTTCAGTGCAGAAGCTGTTCATTGGTCTGAAGGTAGTAAACACATCTAAGCCCTGCTCCTCTGCAGCCACTCTCCACCCGTAAGCTCTACAAGCAATACCACTTCCTTTCTACATAACAATGTTGAGAACTTAAATATGCTAGAGACCATGAAGTACCCTAGAAGGGACCAGAGAAGTACTTATATCAAAGAAAACATTTACCTTATACTTACTGCATTTCTTGCAACGCTACAAAAATCTCACTTTCTGTTGAGATTTAAAATAGCAGTCTAAAACTGCTTCTCTCAGCTGCAAAAGTTTACAGATGTAGTTAGTTACCTGCAGAGCTTGAATTTTACGAGCCTCTTCTTGCTGAATAGTGTTGGCCATACTCCCCTTCATCTCATCCAATATAGAATACAGACCATCAAATTCTTCATCCAACTCACTGATTGCATTAGAAGAGTTTACCTGAGAAGAGAATTGAAACTGCTGCAATTTGTATTGGAAAAAATATAGCCTAGTCTCCTAGACTGAAAGTCACATTGTTTGCCCAAACATGCTTTGCCATGACTACTAGATACCTTGCTGCTGCTCCTCACCTTATCAACAGAGAAAAAATACTAGGAATGAGGGACACTTCCTAAGCAGACTTTACATCAGGACACTGAAGACTGAGATCCATGAAAATTCCATGATACTCAAACTTGCACAGAACCAACATACTTGGCAACTTTCTTCCATGCCAAAAGGCCTCGATTTCCCTCTCACAATTATATATGGATTGCTAGATGTTTATAAGGAGGTAGTTAACCAGTTCCATATAAAATGGTTTCATTTGATACTAAAAACTGCTGGATGATTTCCATTTCTGCAGTTAACTTGGCTTAGCTTTAACACAAAACAAACAATTTACAGCTTATTGATAGGCTAAAGGAACCCAAACCTCATCCTAGTGTAGTTGCTCTAAAAATTAGGTCTAACTTAACTTAAGCCCAACAATTTGCAACTATTGAAAAGAGAAATAGCAAAGAATTTTCTCTCAAGTAGCAGGATGGTTTCATTTTTCAGTCTGCCAAGCAAACTAGAAGTTCAAAAAAGATACACTACTTCCAACTACCAGGAGTTTGAGATCTTGCATCAAAATCCAGATTCCCTCTTCCACACAAATCAAATCCTACAATAGCTTTTCGCATGAAAAGCAAAACCACCATACCTTTCAACTAGGGATAGACTTAAAAAATAACATGTTTTTCTATCTGGTTCCAACACGAAGATATATTTTAAACTTGATTCTTGTAGCCCATCCCTTACATAGTACATAAACAGTTTGAGACTGACAAAACTGGAAAGTTGCTCCCTTCTCAGCTACAACTTATGAGCCTTAATATATGTACCTGAACATTTTTTATTGTATGGTTCAGCATGTCAATGAAGTTGTGAATTTCATCATTTTTGTTCGCTAGAGTAGAGACAATCCTTTGCAGAGTCTCCTAGAATTACAAAAACAAGTGAGAGAAGTTGTAAAAGAACCCTGTAATATTTTAACCATCACCATTTCAACATATATGGAAATTTATCATGTACATTCCAGTTGTGGTGAATTCAACTCTTATTCTGATGGGATCAGGAAATACTTTTTCTTAGAAAAGAGAAAGAGTATCAAAAGTCTAAGAAGCATTCAACCAAATTAAAGATCTCCAGTTGTTAGTTTAAGAGAAATCAGGAATCTGTTTTATGATACATCATGGTTTCACATGTTTTGCTACCCATGTTACTGCAACTCCCGAGTCATCTAAACCAGACTACCTACTGGCACCACACTCTGACATATACAACTTCTCCAGATGAGAAAGCTAGTGCTTGCACAATCAAAAAGAGAACCAATAAAGAAAAAAAAGCTGGTAAAAGTTAACCCAGAAGAAAAATTAGCATTTCCTATTGCCAAAAGAAGCTAGTGTTAAATAACTAAGCTGACAGTTTATTCTATATACAGAATAAATCTATGACAGTGATTTGTAAACTTATTCTACAAGTGGCAAAATATTTTGGCGAATAATTTATATATTCCAATTAAAGGTGACCTCAAAGAGGAAAGCTTACTGATAGCTTAGAAAGAGAATCAAGGTTATATCTGTGGTGTACTACTCCAGCTATTAAAAAAGCAGTAGATTCAGCTTACAAAACACACACTAAGCAGGCAAAACTGTTAAGCACATCAAAATGCATTTTTAAATTAAATAAGACTACCAAGTCTAATTTTGTTGAGTAGTCAGTCACATATTCTAAGAATTTGACAAAAACACATCAACACTTGGTACTTAAAACTAAGTCAAGTTGTATAATTAAAGCTCAGAGCGTATCAGCATATGTAAGTAAAAATAAAGGACAAGGTGAGGAGGTAACTAAGAATTTTCTGTTATTTAATTCAGGCTGGTTGATAATAAGTTCTAGAAACAAATCTGACTCTAAAATGCTAGATTTGGCTCTTTAATAATGTCTTAATTATAATTAAGACAGGTTTTACTTTTTTTTTGTAAATCAGTTGGACTCAGAGTTTCAAATTGCTCAGCTTAACATTGTTACTTGACAACACTTAGGAAATCGAGGCATGGGGAGCTAATAAGCACACCTTAAAAACAGCCAGACCACCAAAAAGGTGTTGCAGAGGTCCCTCCCATAAGCAATTTCTTAATAACCATTTACTATTTAGATCACATTCGTTTGCTAAAAAGCAAGAAAAATATTTTATCCTTTCACAACACCCACAGCAAACCTTGACACCATGTCCCATATAAGGAGTATCTTCAGTAGTCCTAAGCCATGCTCGCACCCGTTTCTTCTGACCCCTTCCTCCGCAATTTTCAACGAATCTGCAGTGATGTATTTATTGGTACTCCGGCCCATTGCCTGTTTGCATAGCATCATGTTCACAAAGTTAAACCACTAGCAGAGGAAAGTGAAATTTTACTGCTTTTACCACAGGCATTGTGATGGTGTTTCGTAAAGATATAATGGACCGGCTAGCAATGACTGAAATTAGGACTCCGAGGAAGAGAAACAAGACCAGATTGGCTTCTTTCAGAAACAAAGAGTATAGCAAGTCTTGATCACTTCATTACAGAATCTTTTCATTGTCTGGTTAAAACTGAACATGTTTAAAGAAAATTTTGTACACATTAGAATGGCAGATGAAACGCCATTGTCCAACCAGCTGCTTCTGCATTCACCACTGACCAGAGGCAATTGTTTTCGCATGTCAGACAGCCCGCAGTTAAGCCTTAGATCCTATAAACATAACTGTCAATTTGGATGAATAAGAAAACTCCCAATCCTCTTTCAGCTAGGATTTTAGGGCTTACTCAGTTGCACCACATGGAAAAAAAAATTAGTCGTCTTGTACATAGTACTGAACAATGGTTTTGGTTTTTATAGCTACATACGATTAAAGGAAAAGATCTACATGTGAGGCATGCTTAGAAAGCCTTTACACAGCCAAATACATGGCAGCAACTGGAAGACAGCTGTCAAACAACGTTTTCTACTACATCTAAAGCTAAAGTCAACTCACCAAACAGTGATCAGTACAGCTCTTTAAGTAAGCTACCAATTTGTCCAAACAAATTCCAGCAGGTTTGGTCAAATTCAAACAAGTTTAGAGACCTTCTACAAATGCAGATGCAAGAGGCTTAAAAATATCCACAAGCAGTAGACAGAATTTTTCTTAAACACCAATGCACAAGCCACCAGAACAGAAAGTCAGCTTTTAGGAATCACTAACATATAATATGTAATTTTCTAATATGTAATAAATACATTTTCTTCCAAACATACCAAGACACATGCCAAATTCAAAACACTGCACTGTTGCCATTTCTTCCTTTAACAGGAATTTCTGAAAAGTCATTACAATTACACGTAACAAAAAGGGTGCTAGAAAAGTTACCAACGTAAGCAGCAATTGAGGCTTACAAGTTATTTCATAAAAGAATTACAACAGCAGCGAGCTCAGTAAAGCTTCTTGGTATTTCTACACTGAAGGAAATTTAAATCTATTGCCCATTGATGGATGTAGTATTTTGTAGAATCCTATTACAAATAATTTTCTTTTAGTTTTCTCTCAGGCTAGCATGTGTTAAGCAAGGTCAGTTTCAAATTCATTTTCAAAACCTTATGGCATGTTTATTACAGAAGTAATTTTTGCTGCTATCAGTGAGCTTCATACTGCTCTTCACTTTTATGTCCTATTCTTATTCTCTGAATCTAATACACCCTTTGCAGAAAAAAATGCATAGCATTCATAAAGCAACAGTGTGGATGCACAAGGGATGAAGAACATAAAAGGATATGAAAAAGGATAGGAAGCCCTGCAACATGTGCTGGCTTATAGTCTTGCCAGGACCATAAAAGTAGACAATATACCCTTCTTTGAATAGCTAGTAACTAACATCACATAGCACCTGTTGAAGCAGATGGGCACCTCATAAAAGAGTAAACTTCAATAAATTAAACAATTACATCAGTTCTGTTTAAGAAGCAAGTTATCAACTTGCTCATGATCATACTGAAGTCTTATGACATGACTGGATGCAGAACAGAGTTTCTGAAGCAGCCTCGGGCCTATGACAAAATCCTGTGTTATACTAGCCTTCACATGCTGATCAAATTTCAAACACGAGGACATACTTACTTAGCCTTCATTAATTTAGTCTTCTGCACTTGTCCACACACTGAAGTTGCCAGAGTTTGAAGGAATACTTAAGACAATACAGGTGACAACAGCAAATTAACAAAGTATTGTAAAATACGAGATCAACTGCGACTTTAGTACTGTATTCAGAACCTCTGAGCAGCACTGAAATTCAAATATGATCAGTGACGCCACTCAGGAACATCCACCTAGAGCACCCACAACAGCTCTCATTTGCTTCTTCTCAGAGAGACTAATCTCACATAAAGCAGGCAAAGGCAGACAGACTCAAATTCACAGTATCTACCAGAAGCACACTTTGTCATTTCACATCTCACCTTCCAAAGCATAGATGAGTATGAAGTGGCAGTGCACAAACACTTAACTAAAACAGCAAACATCTGTGATCTGTGTATTTCAAGCTACTAGTAGTGCTAGTTATCCAGACCCCACTCACAAACCAATTTCCAAGCTAAGGAAAGCACAGTCTTCACAGAGACAGTAACAGAAACCCTTTTGGAGTGCTAGACTGAAAGCCAAAAGGCTGAGTCAGAACTTTTTGCAGAGTATCATTTTTAGAAAGCCGAGCCCTTGGCCAGGCACACCTCTGCTCCTCAGTGATTTTCCTGGCAAGTAAGGGAAGGGGGGAATTACAGGGCAGCAACCATAGGGAAAAAAAACCTACAAAACGCTTTTATTAATTAGTTCCCTTCAACACAGGATTACGTCAACGGGAAACAGAAGGACCTATGTACGCACCATAATTATTTATGACAGAAATACACAATGTGAGAGAGCTCTACAACAGAGCCGTACTTCATTAAGATGTAGCAACTGCAGCGGTAACGCCAGCACCCGAGGCAAGCAGACACGGCGAAGTCCCTCTCCCTGGGCGCCCCGCCACTACACTCCCCTGCCCCTCCGCAGGAGGCGGCTTCCCTGAACTCTTACAGCAACCCAGGGGACCAAGGGCCTTTCCCGCGTTGCTGCCGTCCCACAACGCAGCGG